GCGTTTATTTCCCGGCTCGGCTTCTGGTGCCGGTGTCTGGTTTCTGTGCCTTGCAGCGGTCCCGGTCACATCTGGCCTTGAGACCCTTGAGACTTGGCCTGCCGAGTGAACCTGGGAGGGTGAGCCCAGGCCCTTTGGTTATTGCTGGCTCACGTCTTCATGAAGACGGCCTTTCCCTCTGGGATGGGGCCCGGGCCTACCCCCGCCTGCCTGCCTTTGTGGCAGGTCTTAGTCTCTGTTCCAAGAAGACTCCGTGGCGGATTTGCGAAGCGCCGCCTTTTCGGTGTAAACACCGATGGTGCTTCAGGCCAATGGAGAGGACCCCAGTCGCTTCTCAGGGGGCCTCGCGGGAACCCCAGCCCTTTCACATCCCCCTCTCTCTGCTCTTTCTTTTTAAAAAAATATATTGTATTGATTTTTTACAGAGAAGAAGGGAGAGGGATAGAGAGTTCGAAACATTGATGAGAGAGAAACATTGATCAGCTGCCTCCTGCATACTCCCTACTGGGGATGTGCCTTCAACCAAGGTACACGCCCTTGACCGGAATCAAACCCGGGACCCTTCAGTCCGCAGGCCGGCGCTCTATCCACTGAGCCAAACCGGTTAGGGCTCTGCTCTTTCTTCATCAGAAATTCTTGCAGGATTGACTGATTGTGATTTCAGACCTGTCCAACCCTGACAATATAGGAAACGGGTCACGCTTCTTCCCATTGATTCGTACTCTCCCCTGGGAGGAGTTAGCCTCACCTCTTACTATTTGAGAACAAAGAGCTTTCAGTTATTATGGAAGTCAGTGGAACCACTGGCTACCTGGGGGAGACATTTCCCCTCTCCCCTCTCCCCCCTTAATAAGTCACACAGAGTACAGTAGGTCCTCGGGTTATGTCGGAGATCCGTTCCTACAGACGGCGCAATGTAACGCAATTTTCACTGTAAGTCGGAACCCACTTACATAAGCACCTACGTCACTCACGTGGAGCACGTACACAGCAGTAATGAAGTGAGACAGTAAAAAAAATTTAAAAGAAAGATAACAATTCCTGACCTTTACTTGTGGTGAAAACAGTAAATAATAAAAAACATAAAAGCACATATGTACATACGTCAAAATGACAGAACTTTTTTTTTTTTTAATAAATAAATGGGAGATGGCGACGTAACCACGAAACGATGTACGTGGAGTCTGACATAACCCGAGGACTGCCTGAAGTTAGTCATTACAGTGGAGATCTCTGTTAGCCTCCTGCTAGCTCCACATGTCATCTGTGTTTCCATTCTCTTTCCGTCTTTTGGATTAAAAGTGTTTCTGTAAGAAACTAAAAAAAAACGCTTCTCTGACCTAGAAGCTTCCGTTATCAGGTTAGAATGACCAGGGCTGTTTCCACGTGAGGCACGTATTTCTAAGGCACATTTTATTTTTGGGCCCCTCTCAACACTGGTCGGGTTACCTTCCCTCAGTTAGCAAGCACACCATTTGGGTGACCTTTCTGTTAATACTTTCATAGTGCGGAAGGGGTTCCAATGCTTTCATCTACGGCTAAGACCTTTCCAAAATACTTAGTTGATTTAAAAAAAAATTCTCTCTGCAGGAGCCCCAACCAGATCTATGCATTTTCTCCTGTTGGTTTTGCAATGCTGTCATTGAGCAAGAACGACCTCATAACTCTTAGGCCTGAATTACAGCCAGATGGAACTCGCGCGCGCTTTGGAGAGGAGAGTTGGCAAGCGCGCGTGGCCCGTGGCTGGTAGAGTGTAAGATCATTGTAACCATGGCAGCATTTGTTTCCCAATATTGTGTTTCTAAATTTAAGCGATGAGCTTCATCATTGGAAACGTCCCATTGGTCGTTTTCCCCGTGGACTTTAATGATCCCGGCTTCGTTCCGACAACCTTAGGAGCCGTTGTTTCCCGTGGAATAGCCCGGTCCGTAATTTGCCTGGCCTCGCGTTTTCTGCCAAGGCCAGTGACGCCTTTTAATAAAGTGGGTTTCTAGGAAGATGCATCTAACAACGATCGCTTTTTGAAACCTAGATAAAAGAATACGAAAAGCTTGATAACGAGGAAGATCGCCTGAGTCGAAGTCGGCAGATTTATGACACCTACATCATGAAGGAGCTGCTGTCTTGTTCGCATGTGAGTGCTGCCTGTCGGGTCTGTCACTGCCGTGTGGAGCGGCACCAGGCAGCCTGCAGGGCCCGGAATGCAAGTCAGGCAGGAGGAAGGCGTTCACAGGCCAAATGAGGCTCATCCAGGAGGGAACCCGTTCCTTCTGCTTTGTGGTTTGTTTCCTGGTAATACCGACACAGTGTCCATTGCTGCACATACTCTTTTTATTACTGATTTTAGAGGCGGGGAAGGAGAGAGAGAGAGAGAGAGAGAGAGAGAGAGAGAGAGAGAGAGAAACATTGATGTGAGAGGGTAACATCAATGAGCTGCCTCCTGCGTGTAACCCGTGCCATGTGCCCTGATTGGGAATCGAACCAGCGACCTCTTGACTCATGGGATGATGCTCAACCAGCTAAGCCACACCAGCCAGGGCTCCATGTACTCTTGATATATATATATATATATTTCCAAAAGGTAAATGCTTTCACTGCAAAAATTGATGAAGTATAATAGCGAATTCAGAGCAAGGGTAGAAAAGGGTAGCCTCAATTCTAGACTTTCTCAAGAACATTAAGCTTGAAATAACTACATTATTTTAGTGTAGTTATACTTTCGCAATTAGACTAATGAGATATTGGTAAATATAAGTCTTAAGTGGCTTCTTTGGATGTATAGGGAGGATTGCAATTATATTAATTGTGTTCATTAAGTGTTAAATAATGGTTGAAATTCTTTTTCTTATGAATCAGATAAACAGTTTAATTCGGTCATTAGAATAAACTAGGTTCCTAGGAAATTATTCCACCAGGAGTGAGATTACATGGAAAAATTTACCATGTAATCTCTCTACATTAAGACTGTTGTTGTTTTTTTAAAAATGTTTTTATTGATTCCAGAAAGGAGGGGAGAGGGAGAGAGAGCTAGAAACATCAATGATGAGAGAGAATCATTGATCCGCTGCCTCCTGCACGCTCTCCACTGGGGATCGATCCCACAACCCGGGCTTGTGCTCTGGCTGGGAATCGAACTGTGACCTCCTGGTTCATAGGTTGACGCTCAACTACTGAGCCACACCGGCCTGGCCTAAAGCCTTTCTTTCTTCTTTTTTTTTTTAAAGTCTTTATTGTTGAAAGTATTACATATGTCCCCCATTGACCCCCTCCAGCCCGCCCCCACCCCCCGCCCCAGGCCCTCACCGCCCCATCGTCTGTGTCCATGGGCCATGCATATATGCATATAAAGGTCCTTGGTTGATTACCTTCCACCCACCCACATTTCTTCTTATTGTGCATTACTGAAGAAGACGTAGTTTGAAGTTTGGGGGGAGGACAGAGCTTGTGATCCTTGTCGTGTAGTAAGTTTGTTCTTTTAGAAGCAGTTCCCTCTGCTGTGGCTACGGCAGGGCTTTCCCTTGACCTAGAGCCTTTCACCACCCTGGCTCCGTTTGCAATCCTGACATTTAATTCTTAGGCTGTTTGCACGCATTCATTCTCTCTCACATAGATAATTCAGTTTCATAGGAATTGTACATTTGTAGGACCCCATTATCAGCTCATCGAGGGAATATTTTCAGTTCATCAGCTGATGATAAAGAAGATTCTTCTAAA